TAACATTGTCTTCTGCATAAAATACTTGGGACACTTGACTTGCTAGGACAAAGGGCTCTTTTGTCTTCAACATTCTATTCAGGTTAACACTCACAAAACCATGTTCATCCATTTTCAACCCTTTTGTCTTATCATAGACATCGCACCAATCACACCTAAACAAAGCTAATGATCTTCCTCCAAGAAATTTCAGCTCAATGACCTCTCTTAAAACCCCATAGTAGTCTATAGCATTCACATCGACTCCATCATCACCAACTACGACGAATCCATTATGTTGAGTCCTCAAATTTTTGTCATAATCCTTTCTGTGAAAACGAAAACCATTTAGGACATAACCTGTATAACACTTGACACTTTGAGCAGGGCCTCGTGATAGTGACAATAGGTCATCCAATCTCTTACTTTTGTTATGTTCATAGGAGTTTGCAACCTGCAATAAAGGTTTTGACACATTTTAAGAACATAAAGGTAATAATAATAGTTCACTATGACATATCTGCTAAACAAAAATCTAACAACAAACTAATACAAGCTGTGCAAATTGAAATTACCAAGTCTTAGATATTAACTAGGAGGAAAAGAGCTTACTTTTTGCCTGCACCAAGAAATGAAGCTTGCATCATCCTCCTTATAGTTTCCTCCCAACAAATCATGCTCACAAAGATGGCTAAATTCTCTACAATGTACAATAACATAATTATAAATTAAGAAGCTTGAGCAAACAAAGAGATAGTTAAAACAATAATGAAAACCCTTACTCGAAAAATGGTTGCACTTCTTCTGTATTCTTCATCACATAAATATGGGCTTGCTCTAATTCCCTTGGACTAAGGCTACAAACATTATCATGACTACCCAAGAATCGCCCGACTTGTGAGAATTCAAGAAAATCTTGCACATCATTTCCATCACAATTCCTCTCAACCCTATTAAACTTTGTTTGGATACCATTCAAGTACCTAGAGCATAGTGTCATACATTTTGAAGCGATATAGCCTTCTGGAATGGAAGCCTCTGGGTGCGTTCTATTTCTAACATATGACTTCAAATCATGCAAGTATCGCTCTATAGGATACATCCACCTAAATTGGACTGGACCCCCAACCATAGCCTCGTTAGCCAAATGCACAGGAAGATGCACCACAACATCAAAGAATGCAGGCGGAAAGATCATTTCCAGTTTACAAAGAGTCACTGGAACCTTAGCCTTGATTATTTTTAACTCTTGCACATTAAGTGATTTCAAACATAAGCTCCTAAAGTACTCTGACAATTCAATAAGAGGGCCACAGACATCCTTCGGTAAAAGACCACGTATGGCAAGTGGAATAAGATGTTGTAGAAGAACATGACAATCATGGCTCTTTAAACCAGATATATTATGTTCATCTACATTTATGCAATGAGATATGTTTGAAGAGAAGCCATCAGGAACCTTCATGCTCTTTAGAAAGTGACAAAACTTACGTTTACCATATCGCAGCAATGTATATTTCGCTTGTGGCATCTCCAACTTTCCACCTTCTCGAATATGATGTAATTATGGTTTTAATGTCATCTCCTCCAATTCAAGACGAGCTTTCATAGTATCTTTGGTCTTTCCCTTCAAATTCATGATTGTCCCAAGCACATTATCACATAAATTATTCTCAATGTGCATCACGTCTAAATTATGACGCAGCAACAATGTTTTCCAATATGAAAGTTCGAAAAAGATACTTTTTTGTTCCAATTGTCTCCTCTTTGTTCATGGGATATCTTCACCTTGGCTTTAGGGCATTTTGTTAGACAAATACCCTCAAGATCTTGAACTTGATCAAGTATTTCATCTCCTGAGAAGACTCGTGGCATGCCTTGTTTCTCACTTGTCCCATCAAAAGAATCTTTGTTTTTCCTCCATCTATGACCATTAGAGAGCCAACGCCTATGACCCATGTTACAAAACTTTCTTCCATTATATAACCAATCAGACTTGGTGTCTTTGCTGCAAACCGGACAAGCTAACCTTCCCTTAGTGCTCCACCCTGATAAGTTAGTATACGCTGGAAAATCGTTGATGGTCCACAACAAAGCTGCATGTAATTGAAAGTTCTGTCTTTTTGATGAGTCAAAAGTAGTGATGCCTTCTTTCCACAAATCCTTGAGATCCTCAATCAATGGTTACAGATATACATCTATAGCATCTCCAGGACTTTCTGGACCAGGAATTAACATGGATAGAATAAAGTTGGAGGGCTTCATTATCATCCAAGGAGGCAGGTTGTATGGAACTAAAACCACTGGCCATATACTATAGGGAGTTTTAGAATGTGCAAAAGGTTGGAAGCCATCACTAGCTAGACCAAGCCTCATATTTCGAGGATCTGCTGAGAAAGATTGATGAAGCCCATCAAATGACTTCCATGCTAAGGAATCACTTGGATGTCGCATTACGTCACCGTCACTCTTGTTGTCATAATGCCACGTCATTTGAGAAGCTATCTTTGTTGACAAATATAACCGTTGAAATCGTGGTTTTAGTGGAAAATAACGTAAAGTCTTCTTTGGTAGCTTCTTCCCATTGACTTTAGTCATGACTTCCCCACTACATTGGTCAACTTTCCATCTTGATGCATGACACACCTTGCAGTCATTAAGATGTGCATCATCCTTCCAAAACTATGCTCACAAGCATCAATTTTTGTGTATGAAAGACCAAGATCTTGTATTATCTTTTTGATTCATAATATGAATCTGGTAAAGATGAACCCTCAGGTAAAAGATCCTCTTTCATAAGCTTGAGCAACATGTTGAATGACTCATTACTCCATCTTCCAAGAGTCTTAATGTGAAGAAGTTTCACTATAGTTGATAACTTTGAACTCTTACAACCGTCATAAACAGGTTGCTCAGAGTCATTTAATAATCTGTAGAACCTATCTGCTTCATCATTCGGTGACTCACTGTATGCTTCCTCGAAATCCAATATTAATGCAACATAGCAATAGAAAGGTGGTACCAGACAATGGAAACAGAATTTCAGACAACAAAGGAGCGCAAAGTTATCGAGCAGGCCGAAAAAAGATAACAGAAAAGCAACTGTTATCTTTTCAAGCAAGGAAGGAACACTGAATACTTGTAGTCAAGAAGGTTGCGGCAATGACATTATTGGATCAATATCTAGCAGTTTATACTTGTCGATCACAAAAGAGGGCACATAGCATAAGAGAGGAGACTCGGCAGCTTGAGCGCAGAATATGAAATCTGCAGGAAGAGGGAAAAAGTGAGAACCTAACTATCCATGTATTGGGCGATCTCCATGTATTATAATTCATTTACTTTGGTCACTCTTGAGGCAAGAACAGGTTTCGAGAGGTAGGAAAGAAAAGGAGTAATGCATAAGAATCCCAAGAGTGATGCGAGGTTAAGGGAGTGGTGGGCATGACTTCAATTAACAAATCAGAGGTCAACTTGTGTCAGTGTTTATGCAAACCATCACCCAATCAAAGTATGGGAAACCAACCTCTGCCTTGGAAGAAAAGTTTTGTAAACAACAATGACGTCAATTGTATGATAATCTATAACCTGATGTTCCTATAGACCAACAAATTTGTACAAATGGCCCACGGTTAGGTACTGCGAAAAGGTGGCCTTTGGGTTTTTCGTCCATAGACGAAAATTTGTCATGAGAACATCCAAAGGGCAGTAGGAATGCAGCGATAAGATCGACATTAGTGTCCGAAAGATTAGGAACAAAGACTTGCCAAGCAATTAGTTAAACAGAATACTCAGATTGGTAATATTGTCACAGTTCATAAGCATTAGGCTCCATTACAACGACGATAAGAGAGAAGTAGCCATTCTTGAAAACATAACGTCCATTTACATGAAATGAGAAACAGTTTGCCTGCTGCTAATAGTAGGCAGCTTGAGCCAGCAAAAGGTTGATGCGATCAGAATACAAAAGGATAGAGTGTTCAAAGACTGGCGGCAAAAGCAGGATATCTAGATGCCTAGAAGAGTTTATTTACCACAACTTTACCCTTGGAGTTGGAATTCCTCGACCTCAGGTGGGAGATGGGCAAGTCATCAGAGTTCTTGGAGGGATTTGTTTTGTTCCCGAGTGAGGATTCCAGTTTCTCGATCTTGACCTTAGCAAGAGGCTGATTGAGTCTGTAGGGAATGGGAAACAGCAGCTGCATTAAGTGAGAAAAAAACGTACATCTTTGGAAGGAAGTTTAGTGAAAAATGCGCTAAGATAGAGATTCAAGGGTTAATAGGCAACATAGATAGTGGTATTGTTTTTGTCAGATCTGAAAATGCTAATGGATTTCCATGGATATGGGGATGACCCATTCCAGCAGAAGGTGAAACATTGTCCCCGAAAATTCTGGGAGGGGTATTAAATGAGGCCCCGAAGAGAACAAATAATTGACGGTAAGCAGTGAAGCGAAAGGAAAAACCTATGGTGAGGAAGGGGAAACACTTAATGTGGCTGCACTTGATGCGACTCCCGGCGTTGAGAGTCACGGGGTGGCTCCTTTATCTCTTCCGTGCATGGCTGGGTGGAGATGTGCATCCCAACCAGCGTATTATTTAGCCTGCAGGAAAACCGAGGTTCAGAACTAGCAGAGGAACGCATGGGACACAAACTAATAACCATTTTAATGAGTGGGATGTAGGGGGAATGGAACTGAACGCATGTCACAACATCAATAGGCACTAAGGTCTGTAAGCATCGGGCAAGCTACACATCAAAACGAATAGGTAGCAGCGATGCAAAGGTGAATGGAAAGAGTTGGCTTCACATTAATTCAAGACAACCATGTGTTTATTATTAGAAAGAGACAAATATAATTTCAGCTAAAGATAAGAGTAGCAATCTGTATCCAAATCATATGGCCTATGCAAAGCAGGCTTTTTGCATAGTAAGTTGGAATGGATTGAGTGCACATGCGTCGGCATGAATACAAACAACTATAGATGGATCATACGTACTAAAGGGCAAGGGCTTGGGCCTATGGTACTGGTGGCAGCATCACAATGCGAGTTACAGAGCTGTTGGAAGCACCGACAGTCCCTACAAACAAAGCAGCAAGGAACATGAGAACGGTGGGTTCATAGTGAGGATGAAGGCAAGAACTGGACACTCCTTCTCAAGAGAGGTTGACCGATAGCACGCAACAACTGGTAACACAGGTAAGGTAAACTCACATCCAGACATGTTTGATGGTCAAGAAACTAAAGGGCACTAACACCAAGCGGCATTCCTATTTGCTGCATACATATCAGTAAGCACATCAAGAGCAGAGTAAAATCTAGAAAATAGTTAGAACTCAAAAGTTTATCTGACCAAGGTACTATATCAAGAGGAGGTAACAAAGTAAGAAACGTGGTTATAATGTTCTTCTATAGGCGGCAATCTAAACGGCGGTCGGATACCAAGCGAGCGGATAATAAGCAAATTGGGTAGTAAGGTATGCTATAGGTGGTATCTATGATAGGCATCGGAAGCAGACAATGAAAGCACATATTGGACAGGATCATGAACAACGAAAAAATAGGGGGATGTTACCACGCCAAATTGAAGGGTTGAGACTGGTAAATGCCACAATAACCGGTGCAGCACCATCCATCTGAATGTGGTCTGGTAGTACCAGCCTCTCTACAAATTCCTCCCACAGCGTGACTGACAGGGAGGTTTCGCTGGCAGCAATACATGAAACATGAGAGTACCTCACAACCATAGAACACCGGGCAAACTAACAACAAAGAGAACGTACCGCTCATTTTGAATGACAATGGTCTGCCTCTTTATGGACCTATTTTGTTTCTGTACATAGCCAACAGGTGTTGGAGAGACCAGCCTGCCAACAACATCTGTGAAAAGAATTTTGGTGAGGAATAAGTCGGCAAATTAGTACAATGCAAAGCAAAGGACATAAGACGAACCCACTAAAGCTTCATCTAGTGAAGCGATGGCGTGTAGGTCTTCTAACTGGCGGAATTCAAACTATCGGGACAAAAGGTTGAATCGTCTTCGGTGGAGGGAACAAAGAGGTGTTTGAAGTAAAACTCAGCACACACTCTTTGGAGTAGGCCGCCCAACGTTTCCTTGATTTGTGCTGGGAAAACTGGGTCATGAAGTACACATTGCCGACAGCAAGAACTTCATCGAGTTGGACCGAAAGTTGATTCGGGGCAAGGCTCTGCACCAGCAGTCCCTAGGAAAAGGAATGACCCATATTAGAAAGGAACTCAGGAATCGTTTGGCAGTACAAACAGGAAGAAGCAAGTACAAACCAATTCGTTCGTCCAGAGTGTTGCGCGCTCCGTGAATCCGCCGGCCCAAGCCGGGTTTCCAGCTGCCCATGAATGAAGGAAACGCAATTTGAGGACAGAAGATTTGTCCGTCCAGGAGAGCTTGGAGAGTAGGATATGATTCATGACTTAGGGTAGCAGAAGATTTGAGAGCAATAAAGAGTTTTGGCGGAGAAGGATAGGTTGGAATCGGGGAGAGGATAAAAACTACGGGAAAATGGGCATAAATGAAGTGTGAGGGATAAGCGAGGGTTTCCCTCAACCAAGGCAGGCATGGAGGGGTGTACGATGGGAGTTGGCGTGTGTCAGCAAATGCAGCGAGGTCCGGTAGCGGTGGCGTGTATACAAAACAGCAAAGACATGGGAACTTGGACCAGGTGTGGCGGTAAAGGCGTAAAGATGGTAAAGGATCCAGGCAAAGGCGCTGACCTGTGGATTTCCCAGCATGGCCGCCGGGTAGGCATGGGCGGCTGTTCTAGAGAGGGAAGAAGAGTCTTTGTCCAGGCAGGGAAGAAGGGTGTTTCGCGCAGCTCTTAGGCAACCAAGTGGGTTGGAACTTGGAACCATGCTTTCATATCTCTCTCTTCAACATATCTCTCCTCTTTTTCTCTCCGAAATTTCAAAATCTAAATCTGGTTTACCATATGCATCCAGTAATGGTGCCTTTTCAGCCTTCTTAGTTCTGCTAATGGAGAAGGCAAACCTCAGTACACCAGATCATGGGATGGATCCCGCTAGAAGTTATTGCAGCAAAGGAAAAGAAAGAAAAGCTGCTGCCGAATCAGCCCCGACCGGAGTTAATGCGAATCTGCGTTTTTTATGAATGAAAGGGGAGCGAGCCTCAACTACCAGTCTCTTCCATATCTACCACATTCATTTCCATATTCCTTAAATTCGAAGTTCTCCTCAGAAGTGTCAGCAACGAGAGCTGGAACCATGAATCCAAGTCTGTTCAAACCACCAAAATCTAAGCCAAGATCACATCAACATTTACAGAGCATCGAGCCTCAAAAATTGGAAACAGAGACCCAGATGTGCTATCAAATCTCACCTAACGGGTTCTCATATTCAATAGAGGGGAAGGCTTGGGCAAATCTACCCTCAAGCTATCTATTTAAGCGCGAAGATCTAATCCGTTCCCAAACCATCAAGTTTTCCCCAAGTTCATTCTTCTCCCCTGCTTTCTTTACCTAGAGACGATGGAAGAGGCGCCTGCGAATAACCAGGTCGATCTCAATCTGGGATGGGAAGAAGAAGACTATGAGGTAGCTTTTCCTAATGAAGAGCCATACCAACAGGTGACCCCAAGGCTGAGGCTGGTTGGGAAAGTGTTAGGAGAGAGGGACGTCAGCAAAAGAGCCATGGTGGGAATGATCAACGGGGCTTGGTCCCATTTCAGCGAACCAACTGTGCAAGATATCCCCAAGTTCAGAAACATCTTTATATTCATTTTTAATCACAAGGAGGAGATGGACAGAGTCTGGGAAGGAAGGCCGTGGCAAATCTCTGGGAATACTCTCCAACTGAAGCCATGGGAAGAGAACATTCGCCCCCAAAACATCAATTTTTACTTGGCTGATTACTAGATTCAGGTGCATGGAATCCCTGATCATAAAATATCAATCAACAACATTGAATCAGCGGTGGCAATGTTTCCAAAAATCCACCAAATTGACATGAGGGGGCTCAATCCAGAAAGATATATGGAATTTGTCCTGGTCTTTGTCCAAGCTGATCTCAATCGACCTCTACCTCCAGGTTCCTACTGTACCACTGATGGGGTGAGGGATTGGCTTGGGTTCAGATACGAAAAGCTCTATATCCTATGCTACTACTACGGCCTATGCTACTACTACGGGCGCCAAGGTCAAGTGAAACAAGAATGCTAGAAGAAAAGGGCGGATATGGTGGCGGGCTTGGCATCTCCACCGGAAGGCCGTTACACTCCCTGGATGAAAGCTGGAACTAGAGCAGAGAGACCCCCACCGCCTCCAAGGGGAATAATCGTCCATCACTCTCCGGGAGATGCGGGGTCGAGTTCCGGTTCTCCAAATTTGTGCATAATCAGATTTGGGTCCCTCGCAGAGACTCTCTGATGACCGGATCGGTCAAGCTTGGGTCGTCGGCGTCACCATCAGAGGGACAGGCAGGGTTGGGTATTCGACGCCCTCCAGGCTTCACGCCCCATCCTTTTCCAACAGGAGGATCTTCGCTTAGCCCAAGTCTGCACACGGGAATCAATGACCAACGGCTCCAAGCTCCACAGCCTAGTCTAAATCTGGTTATCTATGGAACACTCCCGAGGTTTTATCCATCTGATCTGCCAAATCCACCGAATCATATTCTTCCTCTTGCAAGGAACCTCACGGCAGAGATGGAGGCTGCTAGTCAGTGGGCCAGGGGTCTCCATTACCAAGCAGGCCAACAAAGTGGGCCTAACCAAGCCCATTCCTGTCCTGATGCAAACTCGGCCCAGGCCAACCAACAAACAGTCTCTGAAATGGTGTTCGATCTCAGCAAAAAGATGGACCTCAATCTGAAGCCCAACGAAGTGGATTATTTTGCTTATGAGAAGCAAATTGAAGAAGGGCATGCAGAATACAAGAAAAGAAAGCACGGTCAACCCTTGGACTTCGAGGGACCATACTTCTCACCAGGGAAAGGACTAGTTAAACCACATAATGCAAGAATCAGAGTCAAAGGAAGGAAGGTCCAGCATACTAAGGTGAAGGAAGATGAAGGGCACCTAGAGGAATCAGGAGATGAAGATGACTACCAAGGTAAAAATTCTGAAGCGCCGGTGGCCGGCTTTAAGCCACCGGGAATGAAATGAGTTGCATCAGTTGGAACGGTCAGGGGATTGGGCAGCCCCGGACAGATAATCACCTCAAAAGAATGGTGAGAAAGTTTCGCCCTTCCTTGGTTTTTCTTATGGGAACTAAGAACACCGAGGACACAATGGAAGAAAAAAGAATCAGCAACAACTTCTACCGAGGGGAGTATGTTAATCCGGAAGGGACAGCGGGGGGCTGGTTTTGATCTTCAAATTTAGGATCGTGGTCGAAATTATTTTGATGTTTTTCTTAACTATGGTAGTGGTTTTTTATGACCTTTGTCCATGCTCCATCTGTTGCTATTGAGAGAGGAGCATTTTGGAATTTTGTTTCTAGCTTTAAAAGTGATTGTAGTGTCCCTTGGGTTGTAATCGGAGATCTTAATGCATTGTTATTTGACTACGAGAAGAGTGGAGGTGGAACGATTAGACGAGAGTCATCCCAACCTTTCAAGAATTTCATCTTTGAGAATGGTCTCATGGACTTGGGATTCAAGGGACCAAGATTCACATGGACTAACAATCGGAGAGGAAATCGTCTCATAAAGAGTCGTTTGGATAGAGGCCTCTGTACACCAGCTTGGCGGAAAGCTTTTGAGGAAAGCAGTATTTATCACGAGAGCAGTATAGGCTCGGATCATAGGGCTGTTCGGCTGGAATTTCATTCCCCGGGCCCATGGAAACGATCGCCATTCAGCTTTGATGATAGATGGATTGGTAAGGAGGAATGTGATCAAGTGGTGTTGTAGGCTTGGTCCTTGGGGGATCACATGATGAAAGTCTCAAAAGATGCGAAGAGAATTTGAAGGAATGGGCCAAAAGAATGTTTGAAGCCCAGCATTTGAGAGAAAAAGAGATTAAAAGCAGACTAGAGATGTTGGCGCAGGCGTTTAGATCAAATAAGGTCTTGGAGGAGGAAACCAAACTCCTCGAAGAGTTGGATATTCTTTGGAAAGATGAGGAGAAAATGTGGAGGCACCGTTCTAGAATCCAATGGTTGGCGAAAGGGGATAGGAACACGAAATTTTTCCACAACTCGACTGTCTATCGACGCCACTTCAATCGTATCATGGGGCTCAGATGACAGGATGGTAATTGGATCAAGCAACCTTCTGTTCTTGCGGAGCATATTAGGGAGTTCTATATTGATCTTTTTACTTCCAAGGATACAGGCTTTGATGCTGGTCTGTTACAGGGCTTTCCTCGACTGGTTACTGACTCTATGAACTCTGAGCTTAGCAAACCAGTTACAAGGGAAGAGATTTCTCCCTTGGAGCTCACAAATCCCCAGAGCCTGATGGTTTTTTTGGCATTTTCTTCAGGAAATATTGGAATACAGTTGGGGATGAGCTTTGCAACGAGGTGATGTCTTTCTTCACTACGGCGAAGCTCCCTCAAGGATGGAATGATACTCATATTTCCCTTATTCCTAAGGTTGCATCGCTAGAAAATGTTGGTCAGTTTCGACCAATAAGTTGCTGCAATTTCAAGTACAAGGTGGTTTCGAAGATTATGTCAAGCAGAGTTAAAAGCTTTATGCCTGACCTTGTATCAGAAATGCAAGCAGCGTTTACCGGGGGAAGAATGATTCAGGATAACATCGTCATCGTCCATGAGGTTTTTCATCATTTCAAGAACCGCATGAAAGGAAAAAGATACGACATGATGTTAAAGATGGATACGAGGAAGGCATATGACTTGGTGGACTGGAATTGTTTGAATGCACTGCTTGAGGCTTACGGGTTTAATCGAATGTGGTGTGATTAGGTGAGAGAGTGCATCCGAATGGTCCGGTTCTCGAAGGTAGGAGGTAATGGGTTTACACTCCCAGAATTCCCTCAAATCGTCCTCTCTCTCTTTGGTTCGTCCCTTGGGTGTTTGGGATCCAAACCCAGCTCCCCCTTTCCTTTGGCTTCAATCTGCCTAAAAAACCCGATTCTGGGCAAAACACGGTCGAGGACACGGCCGTGTTTCACTTTTTCCCTCCCGTGTTTTGCCCCCAACAGCCCTCATCATCCAAAACACGGTCGTGCCTAAATATGGACACGACCGTGTTTTGCTTTAGGCGCGACCGTGTTTTTACTGCCGAACTTGTTCCCCTATATTCAATGCTTCGTTTCTCCCTCGTCCGGACTCCGAATCAGTCGCCGTTTGATCCCAGACGCTCGTAGTCTCGTCATCTTTCTTTTCATGACAAGCTTGCATGATTATTTGTCAATAAAGTGAGGTAGAAATCCATTCTTCTTGAGGTCATGCCCGAGTTTCTTCTCCCTAATCGTCAATTGATCTCTGATTGACTTGAAACTTGCGCCTATGCTTCACTTTATGTGCTAGGACCAGAAATCTGAAAAAGGAACACAACCTAGCGTAAAATAGGCCAAATACGCGATAATTAAAGCTCAAACGATCAAGAAACAAAGGGGAAAACATGTGCAAATATCGACTCATCAAATCCCCCCACACTTAACCGTTTGCTTGTCCCCAAGCAAACCTAACTCAAACCAATGCATCTCTCCAGACCTCTATAAAAACATACAACCCCGATCGTCGGTAGAGGATTTCCTAGATCATATAGCACCTTACGAGGTCAACTGGTCTTCTAAGGCGTTCCCTATCTCTCTCAATGCGAGTACTAGACTCAAGCAAGGATCATGAGAAGAAGTAGAAGTAAGACAGTCAGTTCATGGATAAAGGGACTCACACCATTCACAACCAAGGACTCGTTGTACCGGGGTGCTCTTTCACTTCATTTCACCGTTGGAACCCCTTTTTCACTTTCACTTTTTTTCTTTTTCTTTTTTTCCATTTCATTCACTTAGCGGGGGTTCCAACCGCAGTCTTTTACACAGTCGACCCTTATTAGTCGAGCAAGAGCAATTTATGTAAATCTGGCGCTTGCCAGAGTACTTCTGTTAACTCCTTTTCCTCAACTCGTGTGGAGGGTCAATGAAATTAAGGGGGGTCGGAAGCTCTATCCGTGCACTTAAAAACACATCCTCAAGTAGGCAACCCGTTCAACGGGTGGAAGTTTTACTTGTACTAGAGATAGCTTAGCTTCACCTTGTCGGAGTATCCCACTAAGGATCACTAAAATCTCTTCCAAAACCCGATTTGGTGCAATCAACGGTGCCGCACACGTTGGGCTTACCCCATGTTTAAGATTTAATGATTTTGACATGGAGGACCAACTGCATTTCATTTTTCACATGAGCACCCTGTTCGATACACGAGTCCATAACACAATCCAATCAGAGTCACCATTACCACATGAATCAACGGTCCTAAATCCACTAGTTCACAAAATCAACTAGCACAGCAGAGAGCTAGATAGGAAAAATCTTATACTTCAACATCCTCCATAGTGCTACACTACCTCCCTAGGTTCCACATTACTATAGAGACTGTCAATTCAAAGCATACTGAGCAGACAATTTGCAAGGAAACGCGTACTTGGAGCCCTCAAATTTAAAAATTTGGACAGTGGACTAGGCTCCAAGCACACAAACAGCCAAACATTCACCCTCATACATAATCGAACATCCCCCCACACTTAAGCACGACATTGTCCGCAATGGAGAAAAGATAAGGAGGGTAGAACGAAGTTACCAGATCCAGGGTGAATGATGGTGGACGGGGCAGGCGGTGCATTCCAGGAGGAGAGAGTAGTCGGAACACAAACACCACACAAAATCTCACAAAGGTTGAGTTATTGACTCTAAAATCAAATAACAAAACTGACTCAACCGAGGAGAAATAGAGAAAGAAATGCAAACCGACTAGTTGGGTTGCCTCCCAACAAGCGCTTCTTTCACGTCATGAGCCGGACGATGACTCCTAAGTTTTTGCCCACCCCAAAACCTCCTTGAAGTTGAGGTTCTTGTCGATGAGATGGAGTCTCAAGTCACGAGCATGTGATATGACAGGTGATGGAAGCTCGTGCACTTGATGCAGATGAAGTCTCCGCCCTCGAGACCTCTTCTTCTCTTCTCTCGTCTCATTGCCCCAAACTAGATATGACAGCATCGATTGGCCACCATCGCGTCCACCAAGAGGAACCGATGTCGATGTGGCCTTGGTCTGGCAAAGAGACACTGCAAATGGGTCCTTGCTAAGCAGTTCCTCGAAATTTGGTGGGGATATTACTTGCAACTCATGGCCGGTGCAAGCCTCTTCCACTTAACTCCATCCTCAGCCTGGACGCCAATTGCTTCTTCAACCTCCCTTTCTTTTTCATGTGGTATCACCCCTGGGAAATGATCAAGAACTCCTTCTGCTTCACTTTCGTCATCCTCCACAACTTCTTTCTGCACCCCTTCTTGCTCTTCTTCTTCTAGCACGGATTGGAGAGCAAGTTTCCAAGCAATTTCTTTCATGAGGTCTTCTTGCATCTCCTCACTCATGCCCGCCTCTTCAAATCTCAGTTTGGGATGTGGGAAGGTGTGGTCGGCTACGACAGGACATTCCTGATCATGATCATCACGGGTGCTCTCCATGACAACTGCACTGTGCTCCACAATGTCCTTGTAGCCTTCTTCTTCCTCCTCCTCTTCTAGTATGATAGCAGACGGGTGATCTTGAGCAAGTTGTGCACAAACTTGCTCAATCAGCTCTGGTTGCTTTGATGAGTGCGAAACAGTCTCCTCCGATTCACGAAGGGATGAAGAGTTAGGAGGAGCAACAGATGAGAAAAGGAGGTCCATCTTGCGAGCATACTACTCCACGAGAAGCCTCAATTCATAGTTTGGATCTGGCTGTGGAGTGTAGCATGGCTCTGCAGAATGGGCCGTGAAGGCCGCCATGGGTAACTCCAGCGCCGATGGCCCTTCTGGTTGTGGGAGAAATTCTTCTTGGTAGTGAGGTTGTTCTTGATATGCCCAGGGGTCCGGTTGTTCTCCGTAGTAAGGGGGTTGGTACTGGAACCCGAATCCATAGTCTTCTCCTCCTTGATTGCTCCAGGAAGTCTCGGGGTAATACCACTCGGATGGTGGTGGATACCCCCA